CGGGTTTATTCGGCCTCCAGTTCCAGGTTACAGTCCACCATCTCAGGAGGTCAAGGCAGGAACCTCAGGCACCACAGACACAGTGGAGAGCAGAGAAGAGCAGGATGTTTGCTTGCCCATGCTGTGGTCAGCTTTCTTCACTCGTAAGCAGTCGGGGACCCAGCCCATAAAATGGAGCCGCCTCCATTCAGGGTGGGTCATTACCTCCACTGACAATCAGAACGCTCCCCCAAGGGCCACCTTGATCTAGATAACTCCTCCACTGAAACTCTTGCAATGCCTGGGGCACAGTGGCACATGCTTTTAGACCTGTGATCAGGAGGGAAGGGATGGTGGATGCATCTCTCTGAGTTTGAGGACAGCCTTGTCTACATAGCGAGGTTCAGGCCCACTAGGAAGCGAGAACCTGTCTAAAAATGAAAAAAGGAGAGAGAAACTGTCTGCTCAGGTGTTTCTAGGTTGTCAATTAATAGTTGGAATTATCCAGCACACCCCCCAAAGTAGCCAGTTCTCACCAGAAGAAAAACAAAACAACAAAAAAAAACCACCTCAGTTCCTGTTCATCGCTCCTCTTTCCCGTGGGGTTTATACCAGAAAGCAGGAACATTTACCACAGAGAAGCCGAAAGTACTTTCTGTAAGTGGTTCTAGTGTGGGAGTCAACAGTGTTTTAATTTTAATTAATTTAATTTTAATTACTGTGCCTAAGAGATCCATGAAACAAAATGCCTCTAACCGGTAAGCCCCTTGCTCCAGGACAGATAGTTATTGAAATACTGGAGGCTATTGTTTATGGGAGATAACAAGCCGCATGTTTTCACTCCCCTAAACAAGTTTGGTTGACCCAACTACACCTGATGTTCTTGATCCCCTGTAGGGGTGACATATGCACCCCTATACAGGAAATATATCAGGATATATGCTCGCTCCTGATTGGACCTGATGGGAAATACAGTGACCTTATGGGGCTGCCTTTTTAAGCCTCTGCAAAATGTGACTCATTGCCATTTTCTGGGAACCCAGGAAAGGACCTGGCTACAGTTCCATCATCCTGGCCTGTTGTGGAATAATCCTTTTGTACACTGTGAATATGTGTCACTCTGATTGGTTTAATAAAAATCTGACCAGCCAATAGCTAGGCAGGATTCTCAGGGTAGAGAGAACACTGGGAAGAAGAAGGGTGGAGTCATGAGGAGACACCACCAGACACAGTGAGAAGGATGGGCAATACATAGATGAGGTAAACGAGCCTCAGGGCAGCACATAGATTACTAGAAATGGGTTAATTTAACTTGTAATAGCTAGCTAGAAATGAACCTAAGCTATCGGCCAAGGTTTCATAATTAATAAGCAGTCTCTCTGTAATTATTTGGGAGCTGGCTGGCAGGACAGAAAAGTCAGCCTACACTGGCCAGTGGTTAATTAAAGCTCGCTTCATATTTGGCTTAAAATTATGGCAGTGGTCTTCCTCTTGCCCTGCGGAGTTAACACTAGGAGTTGGCAAAAGTCCTGCACAAGCTTGTTTGAATGGAGACAAACTGTCCTATGGCCTCCAGGAAGCAGTGGTGAGAGGTCCCAGGGTTGGATGGACCATCCCCCCACTCACACCCCTTGGCTTATTGAGTGGATAGCCCATTTCCACACAATGGCCTCTGTAAGTGAGTTCTGCGTCTTTCACCACACTAGGGGAGGGAACCTTTTGGCCTGTTCTGGACATGTCAAAAGTTAAACACTCCGGAGGGCATCAGCAGATTCCTGTACAGTTATCCCAAATCCCTTGTCCCCGATGAGTCACTGCTGAGGTCCCCAGAAGTCTGCAGTTCTTTCCTGGGGCCTGCTGGAGTACACCACCACAGGCTGGCCTCCCTCCCCTTTTGTGCTTTCTGGGATCAGTTCCCAAATACAGAACACCTGGCCCTGGCGTGGAACTGGTACCCAAGGAAGCAGCCACCACCTCCCCGTGGAGGGAAACCAGGAAGCTTAGAAATCACTGAACTATATGAGCTCAAAGCTTTACGGCCACGAGGGGAGCTCAGCTAGTGTCCTGAAGGAGCCAGGGGTGAAACCTTCCAAAAGGCAGCTGCTCACACACGCCATGAGAACAGCCCCCCTCCCTCTTTCTTCTGCAGCCTTGGGGCTTCTCCGGCAGAAAGTGTGTCTTCTGGTCTGAGCTGCAGCCACACCCGAGCCATGCATGGGAGAGCAGCAAGTGCCCTTTTGACTCTGGTCTCTAGAGTGAGCATCATGTGCAGAAGGTGAGGGGGAATCTTAGGCCAAGGCTTCAAAAATGATGGGAAGGGGGCACGGTGCCATTGGTACACTAGAGGCACCCAACCAAGTGTATCCCGAGGATCTTCATCCACCTTGGGAAGGGAGCCATTTTCTCCTCAGGAGGATGGCTGGAAACAGGAGCTGAGATCCACGTTTCTTAGGGGATTCACTCGACCTACCCATCATGGCTGTGCCCTCAGCTCTGGTGCCTCATGTGTACAGTGAAGACAGGAGGTTGCAGGTCCTGAGTCGGTGCCCTGTAGATGTAGGAAGACAGACAAACATCACAGGAACTGCCCTGTGCATCAGGCAGAGGCCGGTAAGGAAGAACAGCAGGGACTCCGCTGTCTAGTATGAGACAGACTTCGGGACAACAACTCATCTCCCCCCACATTCCCGCCTGGCTGCCAGTCCCATGTTGTCTCTGTGTGGCTGGTCCGGTGTGGTACTCACGCTCCCTTGTGTGAGGACAGTATCTCAACAGAATCCACACAGAAACTAAAGTGCTCCTCTAGGAATAAATGACAGATCCCAAGTTCATCTCAAGGGTAAGTCTGGAGCCTGGATAAGTGGCCCAGAAGGTAAGAGCACATACTGTTCTGTCGATAGACCTGAGTTTAGATCCCAGCACTCGAATCAGTTGGCTCAGAACCACCCCTAACTCAGCTCCAGGAGATCCAATGCCTTCTTCTTCTGGCCTTCCTGGGTACTGTACATCTCTCTCTCTCTCTCTCTCTCTCTCTCTCTCTCTCTCTCTCTC